TAGATAAGGTTGATGTATACTTAATAAAATATTTATAAAAAATAACTAAGTAGCACAATAGTTAATAGCCCTTATTTTTAAGTTCATAGTTGTAATAGTATAGGAAACCAATTTTTAAGATCAGAAAAATCTTTGATTTGGTGGGGCGAAAAAATTCCAGCTGCTATATACTTTCAATAAAACAATAATAAGTCACAAATATAGATATAGATTATAGATCGCTGTTGTAAGTAAAACATTTAAATTATATAACTGGCCTCCCCAGCCATGGAGGTGTGGACATGCTTATGCATTTGGGTAATATTTTTAAATAGTTTAAATAATTGATCAATCAAGCTATTGTTAGATTAGACTATAAAGTGTTAAAGTTACTGATTTTTAAATAAATATTTTTTCTTACATCAAATATCTTTGAAATTACAACTACAATATCTAAAATTTAAAATGAAATTATTCTTAAAGTATTTTTATAATTCAGAATATACGATATGCTCATGCTCATAGTACACAAAAATTGCGAAAGAAATAAAAACTTAAATCTACCTTCCGAAATGAGATTGTTTCGACTTCGTAATACATGTTATTCAAAAATTGTGCCAACAATGTTGTGGTATATAAGGAGTTGATTACATAAGTCTACTGTATTGATCAAACTGTAATGCATGAAAATATTGAGATTAGAAATTATATAAAATTATAAATTCAAAGCAAAAATCCTTACAAATTTATTTACATAAACATGAAACAAACTATTCTCACAAGCTAATGACTTTGTATCTACGGAAAAAGTAGGTAAATAGTGTTTTGGTTTAACAATTTCTATTATCTAATCTATAATTTTATTTTAACGGCACGTGCATTTGTTTAAAACGCGGACACCACATTTTGGCATCCCACCTGAAAATGAACTTTAAGGATTTTACGTAAGACTCTTATTTCACATAGGTTATCGATAAATTGCAAACAATATTGCGTAATTTTAGTATTTTTTATTACTACAAAACATAATATTATTTGATTTTCTGAATATCACTTTTAGCAGAAACAATACATTTTAATCATATTATTAAGATAATCGTAAAATTTATATTGTGTTATGTGAGGCAATTCTATAATTGATACTTGATAAATTAATAAAGTTATGATTATCACTAACGTAATGAAAGTTTGTATAATACATACGAATAATTGATTGAAAATATTCGAAATATACATACAAATATACATATTTAGAAACATACATTCAAAACAATTGTACAGTTATTTTAACAGTTTTTCCCGATCATTTTATATTAGTTTATTCAAGCATTTTTTTTTCAAGTTGTATTTTTATTATTTATAATTTAATACATTGGACTTGGTAAAATTGGTTTTCTGATACTTTATACATTTTAATGGATTTTTACTATACTTTTTAATTTTTTTTTTTTAGACTACAAGCAAATGCATATAATTTAATTTTTCCAATATGAATAATCGATTATTGTTGATTTTTCGAACACTTATATCTTTACAATAACAATATTTCGAAGTGTGTACTTACTTATATTCTATTACTAGTGCCGTCCTTAGAGGAGGGCAAACGGGGCACTTGCCCAGGATTTCGTGTATATAGTGTGATTCTTTTTAAAGATAACACTAAATAATTTTGTCCAGTGACATCGGATTGATATGTGGGTTTCGAGGGAAAATAAGGAATGTTTAAATATACATTTTTCGATGGTTTTAAAATGTTAAACCCTTTTATAGTGCGTTTGCACAACATAACTTGCATTTTTTTGGATAGCGACATCTACTTTTAATAGGTAATAGATTTGAATAGAATGTTATTTTTTAAGTCAATTAGATCCTTTTTACTATAGCTTTAAAATCAAAATTAACTAAATGACGAGTTAAAATTTCGATTAAAATTATTGAATTTTTCAATTGAATTCATTTTATTTACACACAGACCCAAATTAGTGTAGTTACGGCACTGTGTATATTGTATAAATAAAAATATTTACAAATACTTGAGCAATGGTTTAGAATTGAAATATATTTTAGAAATATTAGAATAACATATCAAACAACATTATTTTGAATAGATACTGATATTATTTAATTATACTGTTATAGAATGTGGTAAATTAATGTTTATTTTGCTATTAATTTTCTTTTGTACTCCACTATCCACCCATCACCGACGCTTATTGAACGTCATGTGAATATTTACCGAGTCCAGGAGCGTTGAATTTTAATGTTGTCCAGGGTCTTGCAAAACCTTGGAACAACACTGAGATTCGCAGTATATTAGCATTCAATATCCACGTAATATACACACCGGATTCGAATCGTAATCGGTTCTTTGCATGCACAATACATTCTGATGTATTTGGGCGCTACATTAAGTATGCATAATTGATGAGTATCGATTACAAAAACTAGTTTCGGAAGCTGAGACGACGATGCGTACGATGTTATAGTTGCCGACAATAATTGTCTGCAACAATAACGTTTATTATTTATTTATTATTTATCATAATTATTATGATGAATAATAAAAACAAAAATTAAGACCAATACGGCTGTTATCGCTGTTCAACGTATTTTTACCGCACGTAATCGACGTGATTATGATTACGCATTACCTATCTGCCCGCCTGCCCGTCATAAGCACAAGTATTAAAGACATAAATAAATATTCAAGTGTTTAGTTTTCAATATAGTTTAAAATATAATGTAATTGTTAAATAGTTAATAAACCATCATTAGTACAATTAAGAACGCAATTAATGCAATCCGATTTCATTAGCCTGTAAAATTGTATAGTAAACGTTATTTCTATAACCGAATATAACGTAGCTCGTTTATTTGGTATTTTATAAATGTAAACGGTTATTTGCGTGTTCTATAATTTTGCTTTTAATGTCACCGAAAACATTCGAATGCTGTTAAAAGTTGTATTGGGTTAAACAATGATGTGAAAAAATCGATTTAAAAGCTTTACACATTGAAATATTGCGTTCCGGACAGCTGCCGGACGAACTAACTGTTCGCTCGTTAATAATGTTACTAATAACGATCAACTATCATGCGATTAAGTAACAAATACCAATAATGTTTTGATCACGACGATCAAACAATATTGCACTATTCGAGCGGCTGGACACGATTGAGCGTAAAACACCTTTTTTGCGACACGATTGAGCATAAATTGTCGGCGTATCAAAGGAAATTGAAATACAAAAGAAAACCAACACGATTAAGCATAAAAAACTCTGCAACGTTGACATTATCAATTTTTAACTGGGTACAAAAATATTTATTTAAATAATTATAATAATTCAAAATATAACATGGCAAAAAAATATCATGTTTTCATAGTCAATATGTAATATACCTAGTCACATTGTATAGTATATAGATGTGTTTGAACGAAACGAAACGCACTATATACGACTATAGGTGATAATCATTTTGGAATTGTATCTTAACTGTCTTATATTTCCCCCCGATGCAGGGCCGTCCCGAAGGAGGGTCTTTGGGGGGATGTCTCACCCCCCAACGAAAACACCAGTCTGTAGTCGGACTTGTTTCATTATAACCTAGAAGGACCTAATTTTACTTACAGAAAATAAATATTACATATTTCGTAATACAGTGTTTACACGAATAAAATTTACCTAACTACTATACAATATAAAATATTATATATATATATATATATATATAATTAAATTGTCAATTTTAAGAACATGTGACACTGGCACATATATACATATTAAAAAGTAAAAATACCACTACATATAGTTAATTATAGTACATACATTGAGTAAAAAAATTGTAGTCTGCATTTTTCATATTATTCATTATTATTCATATTATTCATAACCCCCTTGATTTATTTCTTCGGAACGGTCCTGCCCCGATGCTAAATGTTTAAAAAGCCATTTTGCTCCGGAACTAATTTATTAATCGATAATATTGTCGATAAAGTTGAGGGGCTCGGCTCACGGCTCGCGTCAGATATAATAATAATTGGTGTAATAATAAGTGAAAATAATAAATTACAAAATGTTGGCAACGTGAATATGGCAACATCGTATAAAATATTCTATGCTCAATCGTGTTGCTAAAAAGGTCTATGCTCAATCGTTTTATGCTTAATCGTGCTTTCCCGATTCGAGCGATAACATAACCGCAATATTTCTAATTGTCACACGAACAGTAATGTTAGACGGGCAAACAATCGGCGAAAACAACAGAACTATTTATAATGGTCAAATAGTAGAAATAGAATTCCATCGAAAATAAACACAGAAAAAAAATGCACTAGCATACAACTGTCATACGTGCGTAACTGTGTACTGCGGTACTGCAATACGTAGCTGCCGATTGCAAAGTTGTATTTCAACATCGGTACATAATTTATTAATTACAATGACCTATACAGTGAGAGGTCAGTTTTTGCTACCCCGACACCCTAACACATAAATAAATAAAAAATAAAACGTTTCAGAATGAACGGCTAACGAATATCCTGTGCGCTGCTATACAGTGAAAAATCGTTCGGGTGGGTTCTTTAGTCGTGCGCAGGTCCATCCGTTTCCCAAAGTTGTTTCTAGATCTGTTACCCCCATTAATATATTTTTTGGCGGGGTATAATGACTCCCGGTAAAATGTTTCTAGTACAAAGGGTTTAGTAATTAATGGTTAAATATAATTTTAATATTGAAAGACGGCGTGATACATTATTGTTGTTTTATTATAGTTGTATAACAATAGGCGAACGTTTGGCTTTGATAACTGAAACATATATGTCTTTTAATTTTATACATGCATTACTCGGACGATTTATCGGAGTGTACAAGTATTTATTGTTATATTGAAATCGACAGTGCGCTTGCAAATATCACAACCAACGATATTGTACAACCGTAGTACAATGAGTAGTTAGGGTTTATCGTTCGCAACGGGTAAGAAGGAAAAAAATACGAGATAACATGGAGATAACTCACCGACAGTGACAACTAGTGCCACTACAGACGTCGTCATTATAATATCGATTTCGGTCCGCTACGACGACGATATCCGGACGGCAGGGCTCGGCTATAACAATGTAATGATAATTTGAAGCGAGTGCGGTCTGAAGGTTTTTTCAACAGGTGTTGGCGGTTGTTGTAGGTCGCGGACGAGATCGTTTTTGTTTCCGGGTTGCTCGCGTCTGCTGCTCGTTGGGCGCCCGTTGCAGCACAGCATACACCTATTACAACCCCGAAATCCGCCGGTATCGCTGGTGAGCGGGTCGGACACGGAGGGTGAAAGAATAAAAACCAAGTAGATTAACAAAACGGTACGTATATCATAACACAAATGCTTACGTGCACGCGCACACGGGTTGATGCGCGTACGCGTGTACATCACAACGTGTTTTGGGCAGACGATGGTACCGTACTGAAACGCAGTAATAATGGTAATATCGCGTCACAACCAGTGATGTTTCACTGATCAATATTGTCGAGAGTATACAACTGGCGGTGGCGGGAAAATGTTGTAAGTATTAATATGATACGTATATTTTTATATTTTTTTTTACAGAAATTAAAATTATTAAAATAAACAGAAACCATCGTTAATAGTACACCGTCAATAATTATTTCGTAGGATTATACTGATCTTGCGAGGGAACACTGAAAGTCTATTGCAAAACAATTAAAAACCGTACAACTAATTACATTTAATACTTCTCCGCGAAGTGTCCGAGACTTGAGAGTATACGTAGTGGTGAGTTTCGAAAACAGTGTTGAGAGCATACGGCCGTAGTAAACCCTATGGGGACATCACTGATCGTAACGCGAATGCTTTCACACAGGGGTAGGCGCGCGAACGCGCGTGTACGTTACGGTACGTTACAGGGGGGGGGGGGTCGACAATGTGGTAGCGAACGCGTACTTACGGATTTTCGACGACACTTGGAAGGAACGCGGTACGCGACGTGCGGGCCCGCTGCTGCTGGTGCGCGTAACCGAACCGAACTGATAGTGACGGTCAATCGCGACGGTCACGGACGGGACAAGACGGCTTGGGTTTGCGCTTGTGGCGAGCGACCGGCCGAACGATCGCGTCGTACACGTACGATGGGAACGGGAATGCGACGACGACGACGACGACGACGACGGCGGCGTGTAATGAATAGCCGCCGCCGGTTACCACCACTGCTGGTGCCGCGCCGCCGATATCAGATTATAATAATAATATTGCCGACGTCCGCAACTGGGCCAAGACTGTGCGCGCGCGCCGCGCGTGCGTTCGTGCGAGTGTGTACCGAACGCGCGTTAACCGCGTGAAACCGTTGCAGTGTATTTACCGACGCGGCCGCCCGAACACAACAGTAGTAATAATAGTAATTGTTGTGCACTCTGTACAGCTGTTGCGAACGCTTCGGACCCGTCCCCACCGCGCGCGTCGTTGCGCGGCGGCGGCAATGCTCACGAACGTACGCGCCGCGGTGTACCATGCACGTTCGACGACGGAGAAAGAGAGCGATGGAGACCGATAGGGACACTTGCGAGTTTCCGAACCTTAAGGATCGGGATAAATGTGTGCGAACGCATTATTTGATCGTTTAGAGTGTTCGGATGTATCAACACGTATTCAACGGATATAAATCCGACAACATTACGCTGTAAAAACATCGACGTTCCACGGGCAACGCTGAGTGTTTGAATTGTACGGTTTCCATTACCAATATTTATTTACTGCTGTGCTGCACAGCTGATGCAAACATCCCGGTCCCTGCGCGCGACGGCAATACTCGCCAACGCACTCGACGATAAATCATGTAAATTCGATACGAGTTTGATACGAGACACAGAGAGAGAAACCATTATTTGCACATTTTCGTATCGCAACGATTGGAAAAAGGAAAACATTTAAATGCATTAGTTGATCGTTCACAAGCACCTGTTATCTGCTTCCCCCCATATCCGATATGGTAATACGGTATAAAAAAACATTTCGAAACCAGATTTGAATTCGTCGTCGAACGCAAACGAAAGCATCACTATTATTTGTAGGATTTGAGGGAAAATCTGAAAATGTGGAAAATTCTATCTTAATAATACATAACGAATCATTTAAACGGGTTTTAAAGCCCTTATCGCATTTTTGACATATTCACATTAAAGATTTAAATAATTAGCCTGAAAAATAATCTAATAAATCATGTGATAAACCGGCACATCAAACTACCGAGTTCAATGCCCTTAAATATAAATAGCTCATTATAACATACGTACGGTCAGAATTTGTGTACATTTTAAAAGTTATATTTGTAATTTATTAATAAACTACAAAAAATGCTTACTTTTAAACGAAATGCAAAGTATGTTATAAATACAAGTTATTGCAAATATATTGAGGTTGGTTTTTTTTCGAATGAATGGAATCATAAATATTATATTTAAGTTAATATTTATGAAAGTTTTAACAAAATATTTTTTATTCTGTATTTCATAATTTCTCTTTATATTTTTATGAAAAAACTAATAATTACAATTTTATAAAATTAATAATATTGATTTATTAGTAGTATTTTTAATTTTTATTTGACTTTTTAAAATAATGTTTATTCAAAATTAAATTGACTCAAATCAATCTGCAAGTTGGCAAATGGATACATCTTATTATTTAGCATTGTATAATAAAATAAATATTTTACATATTTGTACACAACAGGACACCGGTAAAATCAGTTGAAAATTCGATTTTGTTCATTTGGTTGTAATTTGAAAAAAAATAAATCATTAAATGTTAAATAGTTACCTATGTGTTTTAATGAAATTATACAGTTCCACAGGCGTAGTAAAATAATCGGTAACAATTATTTAATATCAAAGTTTATAAGATTAACTATTTATCTAATTGTTTATATTTTATAAAAAATCTTATCCTGAAAGAATATCACAATCAATGAAAATTTTAATAAAGGGGATTGATTTTCGCTCCAAGTACTACTGACCGGGGTAATATTGAAATAAGCTTTGATTAAATAAATATGTATTAATTCACCAGCTTTGACAATCCGTGTGACTTGACCGCAGAAACAATAATAATCGATGTCATTGACAGTGAATAATTTTGAGTACGTCTATTAATATTCAAATGGATGGTCATAAGCGTTCATATAATTATGTTAAAAGTGACTCAAAATCATACGTGGAGGGCCAGAAAGAATAACGTGCACAGGTTCCAGAAGCTAGCTTTACAAAAATATATTTATAATACCAGTTAACAAATAAGTTATTAATTTATATTATAAATATACATATTATATACATGTACAGTAATACAGTTAATGAGTATATATAATTACAATTTGCATATTATTTTTAAATCAAATAACTTCTAACATACAGATACAATTACATAAAACTCAAATTAAATTTTAACTATTATCATCCCTATTTATCATTGGATTTAAATCAATATAGAAAATTAATTTTAATATTTAAATTCAATACTGTATATTATGTGGGAACTTATTAATTTATTTATTAAAAAAACCAATTTTTATAATATTTAACTATGAAATTGAAATAACTATGAATTAAAATATCATTATCATTAAATTCAAAATTACACACTTTGCCATGTAATAAATTATCGTAGCTTATAAAAATAAACATCTATATTTGCCGTTAATATTTAATGCTTATACAAATACAATATTTTTGACCTTCAATTTTGATTTATGTTTAGAAACATCGCTAAAAAATAATTCGAATAGCAGAAGAATGATTTATTCGAATTTTTAAATTTTAAAAATAAAAGTTCAAACATATACATTTTACTTTATTATATACTTATAATATTAGTTAAATACTAAAATTAATCTACTTCAATAGTTATATTATAATAGATTAATTTGTTACTTGATTATAAGACCAAGCAATAACTTATTTTATTCGAAAACATTTTTGAGCTATGAATTATATGATATAGTAGACAAATGGTTAATCCTCGTAAACAATTTTCAATCAAGATAAAATATTTCAAGTTTTAACCATGTTACCAATAAATATTGATAATATTGAATTATCTTTCAATAAAAGTTCTCGTCAAAATTATACCTTAAAATTAATTTTTACAAATAACGTGAACTTAAAAAAATTAATCTAAAATCGATTTTATGATATGTCCGACTATATATGAAAAAATTATAATTTGATTATGATTTTGTATTCAAGAGTATTACAATAAACCTAAAAAATTGAAATTTTTATATTGATTATACAAAATATATTGTAAATATTTAAATCATACCTGATCTGAGACTGAGTTATACACATAAAAATTATTCCGATTTTCATATTTTAAATTTTGTAAATTGCAATATTATAATTTCTTACAATGAGTTATTGAATACTGTGTTTCAAATTTCTTCACACTTTTCGGCCATAATAATTGTCATCAATCTTACAAACTCGTAAAAAATCAATAAGTAATTTTATTCAATAAGTTTATTTATGTCATGCACCATTTCGGAGTACTACCAATGGGTAGCGTCTCCACTCAAGATTTCTTCAACGAGCATATTAAAAATGTCACCAATTACACTTATTGTAAGCCTTGTTTATAGATCGTGTCATGAAAATATTAACAGAAAAAAAAATGCATCTACATAACCATATAAAAATTTTTACAGGCGCCATCACAAGAATCAAAATCAAATAAGTAATCATAAATCAAGTGTATGCATTAAAAATAAATTAATATTGACGGCATTTTAATAAATCAAATACAATAACGTATTTAACGTGTTAAAGGTGACGGATAAAGTACGTAAACCGACCGCACAACAGTTGTAGCGAAATCAAACCGAATTCGAATACAAAAATGATACGAGTCATGACTGCAGACGTCATAACTTTTTATTGCTTTTCAAGCAACACGCAAATCTATATGGGGTCTAATGATAGGCCTCGATACCCATTCGTCAAATCTGCAAATTCGTGATCATTATTCAGTCGTCAAAGTCTTTACTGACAATCGTTTTCATTTGCCACATTTTTACTGGTTCGAAAACCACTAGTTTATCGTGCGTTTTCAATGCCAAACAGCAATAATCATCGCGATCACAACGAGTTCTAAGTATTGATAAATAATATTATACGCGGGCAATTTCGGTGACGGTGTATATCGAAGCGTTACTGAGCAGGAAGTTCAATATGAATAACGTAATAGTCAATGAAGCTTACAAATTTAAGGCTATACACGTTTTGTGAATAATAATGCGTAATATCAATACATAGGTACATCACAACATCCTATCAGTTGGATATCCAAAAATTAATAATTATCAAACGCGAAAATGTAGCTCATTGTATTTTTAAATCTGCAATCAATGTTCGTGAAATGTCGATAGACGACAGCCATCGTGCACTTAAGACATTTTTAAAAACGCCGTTCGAAGTTTGATACTGATAATGTGATTTTATCATAAAACGTGCAATTATTTAAAAATTATTAATATTCATCGTGATTACTAATGAATAGAGCGCGGATTTGTATGCACTTAAAAGTATCGAAATATGCCATATAATATGCAGTAAAAATCATGAAAATATGCAAGAATTTTTTATTTATTTAAAATTTGTAATTCAACTCATAAAAATTAATTACTTAAATATTTATTACAAAAAAATTTAGGAAATTTCTGAACTTAATTTATTTTTAAAATTTTATTTATTATTAAAATAAATAATCATATGCATTTCAAGTTTATCTTCTGTGAAGCTGTGTCGTTTATCGGTTAACATATTTTTAAAGACTGAAAACGAACCCTCGATGTTAACCGAAGTTATTGGGGCATATTTGAAGCAAGTGGTATATCGATAATCGATTGACACATCAAGAGCGATTAAGTTTACGTCGTTATCGATTATTTATTTTATAACTAAATATATATATATAAATTATTATTTAGTAACTATGAAATTTATTTTTAATTTTTCTACTAGACAAAATATTAATTTATACATTTTTTTTTAAATTTTCACTTCAATGTGCAATAAATTTTGAATTTTGCCAAAATATGCAAAAATATACAAAAAAAAATTTCACCATAAACTTCAAATTATGATGATTCGTGGAGATGACTGACAAAAATCCAAAAATATTGAAAGAAAAAAAATATGCGATTGCATAGAAATCCGCGCTCTACTAATAACTGATTAGTTTCAAGCATATTAAAACCCTGATTGTTTTTAGTTTTTTTCATAAAATAAAAATTAATACAAACATGTGAATTATATAAT